AATTAGTTTTAAAATATTCCCGATATAAAAAAATCTTAAAAGAGTTTTATAGTTAAAAAAATAAAAATATATTTATCAATTTAGAAAATCTAAAAGAGTATCAGAAATTCAAAATTCCCAATGAAAATTCTTTTTCTAAGACGAGAAAGAATTGTGTGTTAAGTTATATATATATATATTTTTTTTTTTGGTGCACAAGAGTTTATCAATTTAAAAATTGTTTTACCATTACAAATACACGAACACTAACCTAATATCGAATAATTATCAATTATTTACAGTCAATATTTAGTACAATTACTATTTGTTTGAACAATCGATTCTTTAATATAGACATAAAGTTATTATTATTGTCAACAAAAATAAATTGTACAGGACATTCGGTAAAGTCAACAATAATTATTAGTTCGAGTATAAAATATGCTCTACTACTATCAGTGATGTAGCGAGGAATTTGGTGGGCAAGTATATAATATTGTCTGTCCCTCAATAATACCATATTAATGTTTATAAATTATATTACTAATAACTGAAAGACATCCACACTAATTTGTCTTCAATATTTATTTTATGTAATTATTTATTAGATAAATGACTTAATATTTAATTCTTTAATGTGAATAATATTAGACACATTATCAGTAATCAGCTGATGTAGTCTAACATTAAGACTAATGTTGAACTAACAAAATAGAGTAATACCAACATAATATACATGTATTAAATGCTTATATATATTTTTTTTTTTATGGCGACAACTACTCTTTACAGTAATTTAGACATAATTATTTTTGAGTTAAGCCTGTATTATCTACTTCCATTAAATGTAGCTTAGGTATACTGGGGTCATTGTATGGGCATATTAAAGTAAGATGTTGTAACGAACGGTCTGATGCAGTTATATTATAGTAATATAGGATTATAGTAATATTACAACATATTGAAAATCATATATTTATGAAATCAGCTTACTAAAAAAAAGAAAAAAAAGGATACCTTAAAAAAATAGTCAAATATGTATAATATATTGTTCTATGTAATTTGACACTTGTAATAGTTGTGTATTGCTGTAAATGTATTTTTTTTTAATTTTTATGAAGCGCTATTTTTTTTTAATTGGGCCATCCCGGTACTCGAAAATATACATTCCATTATATGTATTACCATTTCCTAAAGTCAGAACAAACGACGCGTACAACTTAATAATAGAAAAAGCATTTAATAAAATTACCAAAAAACGAGCAAACGTTCATCAAATGAAAAAAATTATCCCGTACAATTGGATAGGAAATAAAAATATAAGTTATAATAAACGACATTAATTCAACTAAAAGCATTATTAGGTTAACGCCAGGGAAATGTGGGCTGGTGTATATGTTATGACAATTTGCATAGTATAAGGGTCGCTAAAAAAATACATGGTCGATTACTGTAGTGACACCGGACACGCAACAAACCGGAAGGGTACACAAAACACTATATTTTCATTCTACATTATAACTACATTGGAGGTTTCAAAAACTTTTATCGATAACATTTAAATAGATGTTTGACTATTTTAAGTACTATAGTTAAGTGTGTAAAGTACATTGTACAATATGAAAATCGTTCAAATGTATTGCGTGAACCAAAAGAGCACAGATATTGTAGCATTGTAGTCAACATCGATTTTTTTGTTAAATTTTACTATACAATTTTTTATACTACAGTAATTATTATTCTGTATTAGGTTTGGATGAAATTATTTTCTCAGAAAGATACGAGTGCAAAAACTCTGTACTAATAAATCAAAAGCGTACATATGCACTTAGGTACATCCTTTTGTCATTCATTATGAAAATTGTATACTTGCATCAAAATCAAATAAGCAGGTTCTACGATAAACATATTGAACTTTAAATAATAACCTCTTACCTATTCTAATATAGGTAATAATACATTATGTATACACCCTACACATGTGTATATAAATTTAACTTATTTACATTGGTATAGTTCGATTTTTAAACTTCACTGTATGTACATATATTTTATAAAGGCTTGTCTAACAAGAAAACATATATATGGTTTTGTATAAGACTAAAGTCTTGTTATGAATACTGTTTAAACAAAAAAGTTGTTTAAGTTTTACTAATTAAAAAATCCCGCTAGAAAAATTGAGATTTTGAATTTTTTTTTTAATCATTTATTAACTCACATAGTCTGCGAATATTTGCTAAAATAAATAAAAAATTCCAAAAAAAAAAATTACATTAAGTGCGTGTAATTATTTGTTGGATTCGATTTATAATTATCCCATTAACAACTTAAGTAAACAATAATTTATTTATTCTTATTTTAAATAGAAAAAAGTATACACTTGTAGTTATCACTTTGAAACAAAATTAAAAATAATATTTTTTTATTGTAACCTTGTACTTGTACCCTTTTAGTCCACTTACATTTTTATTAAATTGTATTTTATTATTTTTTCTTCTATAGTAATTCGCTTCTATACTAATATTGAAATTTATTTTATTTTCTGCACTTTTCTATTAACAATGGCGTTTCTAAAGAAACAGATTGTATGCATTATGTGATTTATTATGCATATTTAAAAGTTGATTTTTTGTTTTTCTCGAAAATTACAAAATCTCAATCTCAGATATTCTGAAACTCAAGTATTCCAATAACGTATAGCTTATGCGTTGTCTTTCGAATTAACCAGTTGTATTGTATACGAAACATAATTATTTATTTTTATTTATTATTTAACTGGTTTACAGGGAGTCGACAAAATAATAACGTTCACACGGCATGTACACCATGTGTTTGAAAAAATAGAAACAAAAAAGAAAAATACATCTATATATTACATAGATATACTAAGTACTTACTATGTAAGTATAAATACATATAGTAAAACCGTCGTGTGTTAGTATGATTTGATATAAACAACACTGCATAGACATACAAATTCAATATCACATATTTTTGTTATTAAAATTAATTGCGTGATCAGAAAACACCGTTTACCAACCTATGCATTTCTATTCTATATTGTAATTGTTATTTTTTTAACGTCAGAATGAATAAAACCCTCGAAAAAGGTTTTGAAAATTAATATAACTTTCTGAAAATTTTTTTATTAAAAAAAACTTGAACATTTTTTTTACTCGACTAAATTGCTTTTTCATAATAAGTAGTTTTTGTTAAGACCAAAATTTACCTAGCTTTTCTTTTTTTACCTTACCTAATGGATGTTTGATAAGACTATAGAAATACATGTGTAAGGTTCAACCTAACCCTGTCGGTTGTCGTCGCACAAAGTTAGCCCTTAGGGTTAGGTAGGTAAAATATATTTTCCTCTGGGAGTTTGTGGGTGTAATGGTATATATTTTGTTCTATTCAATGTGAATTTAATAACATAGACTACTAATTGCGTGACATGGAACTTCGCTTAATGTTATATTCATTGATTTTTTGCTAAAAATAATTTCGTGTCTATTAAGAAGTGATACCAAAGGAAATTTGCTTTAAATCATAAGATTTAGCATGCAAATTTATTTAGAAAACAGAGTTGGCAATAGCCTCTTTTTTTTTAAAGCCAAACCCGGTTAATTTGTTAAACATAAGCCCATATTTTTTGGTAAAAACCAAATATTTTCTGGGCTTAAACTGAACCCGCTGGGTTTTTTTTTTATTTTAAGATTTTTATTAACAACTCTGTCAGGAAATATGTATTATTTAAACTTTTGATTTTATTTATTTGTCATTTAACTTTAAACTGACACTTGGCAGCCTTGTCAAAACTAGTACAGTCCGCAACACTACTTCAGATCTGAAATCCTCAGAGTTGGCAAATAACTCAAACCATCAAAACCTTACAATTGTTTGATTTTTAACTAGAAATATGTGTTTTTATAAGGCTGAAATATACCCTCCAAAAAGCTTTACATTGAAAGGTTTGGGTCTCTCGGCCTTGTCTTCAAAGTTCATTCTAATTTTAAAACATTACATCTAAAACTGCGTGGGAAAATACTGAGTTACGTATTGCACCGTTTTCTTTTCATATATTTTTTCAAGGATATCAAATTATTAAACTTTATTATATTAAATTTGGGCTATTTCTGTGTTGGAAATTACAACTAATAATTTGAAAACTGAATAAATAAAATTGACTTTAAATGAGAAATTGTAAGATCGTCTTATTTAACCCTTGGTTAATTATTTCAATTATGGTTGTGATTGTTAAAGTCTTTTCTACTACTTATGTCTTTTTTTAAAACTTCCAATCAAAAATCGACCATGGCGGTGTTTGTTCAAAAGCTGTTTAAACATTTTTAGTTTACTTAAAAGTAATAACAGAGTGATAATTTAAAGTGACATTTTTCTCAATAATAATTACAAATTTTATTATTTTACCGTCATCGCATAAGAAATTTTCTATTTTTCAACTTTCCGTTAAGGAAAATTTCACGTTCAAAGGCAGCTTTCAAATTATAACATAATATCTTCTATCCATTAATAATACATTTTAAGAACTATAATATTTCCCCTAGGGAGATTTTCCCTACTCTTCTAAACAGCTTTTGACTGCAGTTTTACACAGCACGTTTCGTAAGAGGGAGAAAAGTGCAAAGTTTTATTTTATTTTACATGAAACACACAAGATGAATTTAATTTCCTACACAGATTTTATTATAGTTTTCTTTAAACGTAATTGTTTTACGGAAATATATATAAATAGATTTTTGTAAAAGAAGTCGTTAAAACTAATTAAATTAATCAAGATAGAAATGGAAAACATTTGCAGTATCCACTCGCTGTTGTAAACGATGGTGTTTAGAGACGAATACCTATTTATAATGCGTAGGAAATATTTTCGTTTTAAACAAGTCCCTTCCATCACGGTGTCGTCGGATGGACACTGGCGCAATTGGTTTATTATTTTAATTATTGTTCTATAAAAGATATTATAGTCTTCCTAATGTTTAATCGGTATCAAATGGCCATCTTACCTGTAATCAAGACGATCAGACGGATGTCGCATCGACGACCCATGATTTACAATAATTGTAGGTAGCACTCAAACGGAAGTGTTTTTTTTTAACTTAAAACCGGAAAATAACTCGAAAGCCCTCGAAAGGCTTTTGGACAAAAAACAAAAATCTCTAACCGTTACACATTTTGAAAGGAAAATAAATTTGAATTTACTTTTAGAAAAAGAAAAAACAAAAATACTTCTCGCACGTTACCAAAGTTTATATTCGACACCGGTATATGGTAACTGGCACGCAGATCCTGTAAAACTGAACGTGCCGGCGGCACGTTTGGAACATGGCACGAGATCCCGCGCTCGCCATAATAATAATTGTCGCGCCACTGCCGCCGCCGGTAGCAGTCTGCGGCTGCGGCTCCGACACTGATAACAATAATGGTGATAACTGATAACAGACACGTCTGTAATCTGTTTGTCGACAAACTATACCATTAGCTGATATTTTGTTCCTATTCGTTTTTCAATTAAATATTTTTTTCTAATATTATAATTACTGACTACCTATTTGTTTTGTTTTTTTATTATTTACGTTTTAAAATACAATTTTTTTCCTAATACTCATATTCTAACTCATAATAATTGTAATACAACAATATCCACGATGGACGACGGACAACTAACGGAATTATTGTTCCCAGACGGCGTACCCGGTATGTTAAATATTCGGTGGACAGTTGTGTGTATTATGTATCTGTACCTGACAGGCATAACGATCCGAGTCCGTTTTTTGAACTTTCCAGAGAAGCAAAAAATGTATACAGAAATGTATAAGTAATGATATGATAACTATGGACATGGATCATTTGGTTGTAACTGCTAAAAAAATACCCATAGAACTTGGATCATCGTGAATAACATTTTGATAGTTACGCCTCTCGGGTACAGATACTTTCATTAATTATCTGTATGAAAAAAAAATGTTTCGCGAGTTCTTCTTCTGCCCATTATCCATTCGCATATACACAGTGGGCCAATAAATACGGTTCTAGGACATAAATGTATAAAATATAAAACCACCAATAATATTATAATTTAATTTAATTTACAAAAATAATAATATCTTATTTTGCTTCTAAATATTTATTTATGTATACTCAATGATATTTCTTTACTGATAATTAAAGACCTACCCGCTACTTAAACTGCATTCACACGATGACACTTTTAAAACGAAACAACTGTATGCCATAAAAATATCTTCGTATGAGCGGCTTTAAACATTTCTGTTGGACAGTCGTATCAGTGTTGAAACGCAATTCTTTCAATTGTGTTGCTGTACAGTTGTGAAGAACTTCAAAGTAAGAGTTCAATTGGGAAATATTGACTGTCAGCTTTTTGAATTTCTAAAAATGGTTTTTTTTTATCTGTTGCAACATACATTTTATGAAATTTCTGTCACCGGTAAGAGTAGATGTCAAAGATATTTCAGTTGACTTAAATTCCTTTCATGAAATAAAATTGTCATCTTTTGAGTATGACAGAAACCCTCGACACATCATCTTGATTGCCTTTATTCCGAGTATGATATTTCTTATTAACCAAAAAAAAAACATAAGTTAGTGCCGCCAATAAAATTTTAACCTAGCTTACTGCTTCAATAATTTTTTTTTTTAAGATATATCTAAACATTTTTAATTGAATTCATAGAACTTTGTTTTAAACTATTAAGTAAATCAACACATTTTAATGAACAACATTTAAATTTTAAGTTAAATTGTATAAAACATAATATATTATACTTACCTACTTAAATTTTTTTTTCAGAGGATTTTAAAAATCTACCAAACATTAAAAATTATTTACAACATCTCGGAACGTGTACAGCCGAGCAACTAAGTAATATTCTACCGCTTTTACTGACAATTAATGGTGTAATTTTTAAAATGTACATTTTTTTTCCAGATAAAGAACCGAAATTTTTGGAAGACAAAAACGCCGTCATGGCTCAACAAATAAAAGACTTAGCCTTAAAGAACTACAAAACATTTGTAAAGACATCGCACTGTTACGAGTCTGTTTGTAGTGAATTTGACGTTACTCAGAAGAAAACCATTGATTTAGATAATAAACTATCGACACTTAAATTAGAGTGTCAAGAAATGCTACATCAGTGGGCCGACGTCAAAGAAAAACGTAACCGAAATACTTTGGCGATGGTTTGGAATTCTCGTATTATGCATCACGCTCTCGAGCTTCCGCAACTTATGCTGTCGTGTGTGCAGAATAAGCTGTACGACGAAGCTTTAAAACTGGCCGAACACGCTAGACTTCTACCTTGTACTATTCCAGCCGTAAAAGTCAGTGAATAAATAATATAACAATATTTTTAGTATAAGCCGTTCGACCCTCATAATATATATTTTTTTAGTTGTTGCACGAAGAAGTCGAAAAACACCGGTCGACACTGTTATTAGCGCTGTATCAAGAACTGAGGACCGATTTAGAGTTACCGCATTGCATGCGCATTGTTCGCCTGTTGAGGACTACCAAACAAATCAACGAAGAACAACTCGCAATTAAATTTTTACAAACTAGAAACTCTTGGTTTAACGAAAAATTACAAAACATAACCAACGATAGCTGTAAGGAAATAAATAATTTAACACCAGCCAAATTTGTAAAGGTCGTAAGTCTTGAAATGAAAAATGAATGCAAAAAAACGCATTGAGTTAGTGATGATTTATTTCTTATAAAATTTTGGGAGGATAAAAGGACAATGTTTGAAAACTTCTGCAAACTAATTTAGTTTTTAGAGAAACAAAAATGGACTTATGACCTTAGCGAATTAAACTGTCAGATGTGTACACTTCCAATGGCTAAAATAGTTTTAAAAAATTATTATAATTATCAAGTTCTGAGCATTATTATAAAATAATGCTCTGAACTTGATGCATTTGTTTTTTTTTTTTTTTTTTATATTTCGAATTTTTTACAGAAACGTTTCAAAGGTAATGCAAAGTTTAAAATTACAATTTTTGTGTTGCAATTTTCCAACTTTTTATAAGACTGTTAGTATATATTTCACTTATAGTCAAATTTGTATTTTTTATTCAAAATATTTTAAGAGAAACAAAGTCTGAAAATGTGTTGACATAACTAATATTTTACTTGAGCTTTGGTATTCATTTACCAAATAGTTGACAAAAACATATTTTTATAACATTAGACTATTAAAATATTTATTATTTAAGTACAAATTTTTATTTATTTTTTATAACTTTTAGTTTAAATATTTTTTTAATCATTTTGAAACCTTTTTAATTTTTTTTTTTTTTATAGTGTATTTTATAATATGTTTTTTTAAGTTATCAAATATTTGACTGCTGTTTGACCTGAAGAAATATTTAAAATTTTATTTCTTAGATAGTCAACATCTTTTAAGAACTGTTGAAGTGTCACGAGCCTGTCTTACCAATATAGCGACACAATACAACCTGATATTCTGTTCCGAAGATCATTCTTCAGCTATCGGGTCGTCAAAGCTACTATTTTATTATTCGTGGGCCAACCAAAAGGTATTGTGATTTCTGTTACTGTATTAATATTTCAATAATACTATTGTAGTTGTGTATGTTTTAGATTTGCCAGTTTATTGAAACTCTTAAAAACGATTTACCTCTATGTGCTCCATCGTCGTTAGAAACGATTTTCACACAGTGCATGTATTTTGGCCAATCGATGGGACACATCGGAGCCGATTTCAGGGGTCTCATTTCTCCGGTCTTTGTCGATGTTACTGTCAAGAGATTCAAAGAACTATTGAAAAACTCCGAAAAAACATGGCAAACGGACTTGCAGACGTTTCTGCAGTCTAGTATAAGACATGTCAGAATGAATCAAACTCACGACGACGTAAGTGTGTCAAGTTAATGTACCAATAATAAAAAATGAAAATTACACCAACACCAACAATATTTATTTGATTACAAACTAAAATACTATTTAAAGCTAATTATTTAAATGTACAAAATTATTGGATTACTTACCCATATTTGTGGTAAACTAATATTATGTTATTCATCTTTTCTCTATATTTCATAATATCCATAAAAGATTAATTTTGTGTACAAATAGTATGTATGATATTTACTTTTAATCAAAAAAAATACGAAAAAATGAAATTTATAAAAATGCAAGCTTATATTCCATCGCTTATGAGTTTATTTTTATTGAATTTTACTAAAAAAGAATCAATTAAACATCTAAAAAAAATAAAATAAATAAATCAAATTAAAAAGTGTTTATTTTATTTTTATTGTTAAACAATTTTTTTTTGAATTTACACTAAACGCTTGTAAATCATTGTATTTAGAAAAATGTTTGTTGAGAAACTGAAATTAAAACAACTTTGTCAACGGTTTCAGGTTGATGACATCCCGTCGCCAGTGTTTGAGTATTATCCTTTGGCGAAGTTCTGTAATAGCGTGATGAGCGCTCTGAACGATCTTGGAGAATATGCACCTTACGCAGCCGCCGACGAAATCACCAAATGCTTACACGCCACTTTGTACAATGCCTCGCGTGCTTTGTATACGATGTATTGCCAAAAAGACTTTAAAGCGTATCAGCAAGTTAGGAAATTGCTATTAACTTGTTGCTACGATATGGCTTTAATATGTATACTTTGACTTACAGAATGAAAAAAAAGTTTTCGGACGATTGTGCGTTTGTTTTTCGTTTGACGTCGTGCCTTACGTACAAAGATGTCTGCACAAAGTCTACGAGCCAGCCAGTATAGCGGCCTTTATCGGAGTCACTACGACGTTGCTTCAAAAAGAGGTAATTTTCGATTGTGGAACAAATTTAACTGCAGACAACCGATTAATCTCGAATTGGCTTAAATAATAATGAAAAAAAAATTGAGTGGTACTTAACGCTATCAATTATACCTACCAGAATTATTCAACAAGATAAAATAGGAATTTTAACAGGCTGGTTCAGATGGGAGACTGGCTAAACGCTTTAGTCGTTTTGCTGACTTCATTTAACTATTATATACATTTTCCGTTTACCTCAAAAAGGTATTTTGCCAGGCCAAAAGTTGAAAAAGTTTAACCGTTTACGATCTATTTTAAGAAAAGTACTCGATACATTTTTCAATATAAAAACACAGCACTATAATTTGTCAAAATAACTCTAAATTGAAGGAAAATTATGTTAGTTGCAAAGCCTATAACGATAATAAATTTAAGCAGTCATAAAAATTTGATTTTCAATATTCATACATGTTGTATCAATAACACTAAATAAAAGCATAAAAAAAAATTGAATACTAAAAACTGCAAAATTTGATATATATTTCACTCAGCCATTTGTTATCTAATATTATGAAAAAAATTCATTACAGTTTGAAGGTATAACGTTTAATTATTAAACTAAAATAACATCAATTATTACAATACAAAGTTTTGAAAATAAACAAAGTTAAATGTCACTTACTAATGACGTTTTAAAAATTAGTAAATTTAAAACACTAATTATTTCGACAAAATTTAAGACTTTGTTAACCGGCTATTTGCCGTAAGTTAAATTTATCATAGCTGTTATCGTGTAAAACAACGGTATTTTGTAAAACCAAAAAATTATGTCAATTTGTAAAACAAAACTCCATTAAATTGTTTAAAAACAGCTGAAATTCTTTTATCGTTTCTCGCTTCGTACAAATGCTTTGTTTTTATTTTACAGAACCTGACCTATATTGATACCAATGTCATAAACGAACCCATCAAGGAGTTACTGAACGAATTTGGAGCGGAACTCTCTCTGGAAAATACGACCTCCTCCTCCTCTTAATAACTACAATGTACCAAGACTTATATATGTATAAAGAAACACACACACAATATTATTATAGTATTATTTTTATAGATATGTTATTTAATATAAATATATTATGTTTGTAACGCATCGATTTAGGCGTCTGTTGCCCAAACACGGTTTTTATGTTAACCTGACGGTTATTTTCTATACATCAGCCCTGCTCACGGGCAACAGGGTAATTTTTATTGGTTTTCTGATTGTGCCAGTAATACGTTTCCGTGTAGTTTTTTTTTTTTTTTTATTAATGGTTTACTAAAATAATTAAAATTGCAGTTACGTGTTGAACGTTGACCGATAATCACGTTCGCCGCATGGAGTCGTTACCTTATCAGCATCAATACAACCGTACAGGTAATATTATTATTATCACACAATAACCGTTTTTCAGTGATATTATTATGTTTATTATTATCGCCCTGAGCACGTCCGTTAAGTATATCGTACGCACGGAAAAAGAGAGATTGTACAATAATATATAATATTACATTCATTAACAGAATAATCAAACATACACCCATTTTGCCGAAACAACGCCTCCAACGCCGTTCTACCGTGCAATTGTGTTTAACCCTAAACTTGGCAGAAATAAACAAATTCCAAACCATGTTTTTTATTTTACTAATTAGGACCCGTAGAATTCATTGTTTGACGTCTTTTGAACAGTTTTTTAATCGTCTTTAAAGACACACCACCACGTTGACTAATTTATACATAGGTAGTAAATTTAACTGTAGTAGTTATTAATAATTCAATAAAATAGATATCGATTTTCAGTATCCTGAAAATCAGCAAATACTTGGATGGAATATTTAAAAAAAATATATATATATATATATATTATTTTTATTTCAATATAAAAACAATATTAACTGACAATTTGTTAAACCATTTAAACAAATAAAATGTTGTTTTATTATTCAAATTGTTCAAACAGAAACAAAATTTGATTTATTAGGTATTTAAGTTTTTATATAAATAATAAGTATTTGAACAGTGTCTCGGTTTAGTAGAAGTACATTATTTTTCGTTATTGGGAAAATTAGATGTAAGCGACTGACTAAAATTGCAACTCTTCGAATTTGTTATGTTAAAAAACCTAGCGCGATTTACCAGATGCTTTTATTATAATATTATGTTATCTAAAAGTGACTTCGTTATTATAATTACTCTCTCGATTTTTAAAAATCAAGCAAGTGTAATAATTGAAAGGGAAAAAAATCGAGACTGTAACTTCATAGTAACAAGTGCATGTTCTCTATATAACATGGAAGTAGATTCTAAGCTCATTAGATAGAGTTTGTGGAGAAGATACAAAATATGAATTAGAAAAATGAAAAATAAATCATTTACTTATTTTACCACTAAAACATTTATCAAATTGAGCCATTTTCCTTTCAATTTGCAGATTTCCAAAACCGATGAACGTATTGTGTTGTTTAGGGTCTTATTAGAATCACTTGGTTGGACGTAGGTGGAAGTACCGCTAACTGACAATACCTACAATATCGTTGTTGTTAATTGTTTTAAAGCGACATTAATAATTATTCAGATTCAATTAAATTAGCATAAATTTCCATTAACGAATATGGAAAAGTTAAACGACTAACATGAAATAATAATATCGAGTGTAAATAGTGTTGAACTTTATTAATAAAAAAATCTAACTTCCACTGTCCATTTATTTAATGTCAACTCATTCACGTTGATATTTTTTGGTGATTTTTTCACTCTGTCATAATAATTCCTAAAAGCCTGGCTTCTTTTTAATCTTAAAATATAACTTTTCCCATCTTTTTTGTATTGTGTTTTATATTTTCAAAAGTGAGACTGAAGATAAAAATGATTATTACTACAATTTCTAATCATTTTAACTATAATTTATTTTATAAATATAAACAAGCAAATAATTTATATTATATTGAAATATTAATATTGTAAATATATTTGTTTTTAAACCCGTTTTATTTTTTTTTACATAAACTTTATAAAATATTTAGCTCGAAAATTATATACACAAAATTAACAATACAACTAAACTAGGTAGTGCAATGTGGAATTAGAACACCAACATAGACCATAGTGATAAAACGCATTAGATAAATGTTAAGAACAGATTCAAGAGGAAGGCTATTGTGAGTAGCTTTTGAAACCCATTTAGTTGCAACTTTATTCTCTAAAGATAAAAAATGATAACGACAATTAACAAGGCGATGAATATGTGTATTAAATTTGAATACTAATTTATTTGATATTAATTCAATTTTCAATTTTCATCGTTCTTCGACTTTGGTCTTGATTTCAATTCACAATACTGTTTTACATTTTATACGGTTTCCGATTAGCATTTTATTTTTTATTTTTTTTTTTATCTAATCGATTAATATATAATTTGGGTTTCGATTTGATATGCAAATCAGTTTGTTGAGTAACTACGAGTGTTACATTTAATTTTTGGTTTTAATTTATAATATCGCTTTATCTTTTTTAATATCTTTGGAGAGGTTTTTATTTAGAACAATTATAATTTATACTTTTACAGTAGTATCAGAACTATTTTATTTTATTTTAAAGTTAAATTATACAATATTATTGTTATTTTGGTGATTTATAATATATATATATATATATGAAGGGTATAGGGAAAAAACCAGCAGTCACTTTTTAAAAATGTCAATTTTTTGTTATAAAAGTCGTTTTGATACAAAACTAATCTGTTCTTTGCTTTTAAGCACGATTATAAACAAAAATATACAATATTTTTAAAAGTTTTAAGTATTTCTTTAACATTTTAAAACATATTTTAGCATTACTTAAACGTGTTTTTCTTAGATTAGAAAAAAGTGACTTTGCTGGTTTTTTCCCTGTACCCTTCATATTATATTGGACTTAACAACATAAGCATAATTTTTAATGATTATAAGCTTTATGTATTGTTGTGCGTTAAAATATTAGATACTTAGTTCGGTCTCATTTAATTCGAGCCCACCTGCAAATGTATTCAAATATTGTAAAATGCTTTTTGGAAAACATACAATTAAAAATTCAAGTTTACATTAGCGCTCCTGCCGTTAATGAAAATTATAGTGGTTCATTAAAACAATACCGCATAATGTGCTTGTATACACATCAAACGTATCTACTGTGTATAGGCTAAATGAATAAAATATATATATAAATATGCTGTTTATGCTCCTATATAAGTCCGCTGCTTTCGGCCAACGATTCATATTTTGTAAATGTTAACATTTCCTGCTTGACCTTAATTATTTATGCAAAAATCAACCGTCCAGTGTCTTGGGGATCGCCCGAGGCATCCGTAAGTCACACTTGGAGTATTTTTCTCGGGTACAACGTTGTTTGGGCAATGCGTGAATACCGTATAAACGGGGCCCGTGTGCAATTGTTATTATCACAGTGATTTACCACCTTAGCAATAGCATATACCTACAGAATAAATACACTATATCATTTTGCCGGACCACCGTCGATTATTTTATCGGTATACTGTTACAGTGCGACGGAAAATAAACTATTTGGAACGTGAGTTGGTTTTTTTTTTTAATTTTTTATTTATGCCGTTTTGTCCAAAAGAAAATGCATGTAGATTATTTTCCATACTCGATACATCCTTTATGGGACAAACGGCAATCGAAATGGTTTTGGTTTTTTTTTAATGATATTTCACAGGAGAGTAAATATTGAAAGTTAGTCTCTGTAGAAAACGATATGATTATATAATTTGTCGACCTTTTTCCATCTGGGTTTGTTCACATATTTTCAAAGTACATATTAAAGAAAATTACCAGTAAGAAGGCGTTGGAATTTAATTTTGCTCTCCTGTAAAATCTATATTGAAGCTACTAAATCGGATTTTGTATAAAAGTTATTTTTATGTAAATTAGTTTTTATATTTCTAGAACTTTTTTCTTTTGCCACAGACAGATTATACATATTTTTAATTCATTTCTAGGTTAAGGCTTACTGTATTTCAATAGGAATAAATATTGTCATTATTAGACTTATTTGTAGATGTATTGTCTAAATAAAATACTACTCGATGGTATTTATAATTATATAGTAATTCATTTAGGACTCATTATTTACTCGACAAATTAATTCAACGGCTAAGTACAATTTGTCCATTCTAACTTTATGCATGTTGCTGACTGTACAAAAAAATGTTACAATTTGCTTTGTAAAATAAAAAATTTACATAATATGTTAACATATATTTTATAACAATACATATTATGCCTAATAATAAATTGGTCGACAAATTTCAAACGATAAGTTTAACCTTTAGAAAAAAAGTACTGTTGTTGGACGTTTAACAAATATGTGCATAATGAAAATCATTATGAATTCATTTTTAGGCTCGAGGTTAGATATTTTATGCACTCGGACGCTATTTTTTAACCGTCAATACAATTTAGTATTAATGCATAATTTATTGGCTTCGGTAGCATCATTATTATTGATGTAGTCCCAATAAAATCCCCTTGGCCTTAAAAATTATCTGATATTTATTGTAGCTATTAACTGTTTTTGTTTTAGGCGATTTAAGTTGTAAACAAATATTACCTAATTGAATGTTGTAAGATAGTTTTTACTCGATTGGTTAAATGTTACACTTAAATTGCATCAGGAATTAAAACCAAAATATGTACATTTTTAAGGATCTTCAAAGTTGTAAAATAACTACAAATTGTAAAAGTCCAAATTCAGCAAAAAATTCCAAACAATTGTAATTCAATTTATGTCAAATTTTGTTGTACTTTTAGTTTATATGGCTTTTTTTTAGAAAAAAGGAAAAACTGGTACACTCTAAGAGATGCATTTCAATGGATTTTTATTTTATTAAAATATATTGTAAAGTGTTGTTTAACGAAATCATGTTTGTGTTTTAGATGTCCGTCATATTGAATAGCCTTAGTAACTTTTCCGAATGGATAGAAGAGAATGCAGGTAACAGTTAATTTGTTTTGTATTAAACAATAGAGATGTTTTTTTAATATTTTCATTATAACCCATCCAGTTCATTTCGAATGTCTCACATAATGGTGTAAGTTAGAATTCTTTAAAATAATTTAAATAGGTATGTCGATACATCACTTTTTCCAACTTTTGTGAAAGTACAACAATTATTTAAGTTTTTAATTGATATTAAAATTCTAATATAGTTTTGTTATTATAAACACATTCTATATGATACCAGGGATTTAAAATCTAACCAAAAATTTGGTTTTTGGTGATTAATATGATATATTATTGAAAAGGGGCGAAAGAAGGACATATCGCAGATGTGTTTAAAAAGGGACAAAAGTAAAAAAATTGTGTTTCTAAGCTATCATCATTGTAATAATCAGATATGTGTCACTTTTGCGAAACAAGTGTGCGGTATATCATTTTTAGATCATAATATCATTAGGAACTATTGGTTTTCGATATTCTGGCAATATGTATTTTTAAATGATCTAACCTAACAAGTCCACGACAAGAGTTGCCGTCCTGGGGAAGTGTGGTTATGGGGAAGTTTAAATAATAGTTTCCATATAAAAACTGACATACCTATCACAACTTGTGCCATCCATACTTACAAGAATTTCACATAAGTCAACCCTGTCGTTGTTTTCGTTAGACCACCGAGTCAAGGACTTGTTTCTAATGGGTTCGGCATGGCCAACGCTGATACTGCTGGTGGCCTACTTATTGTTCGTCCTCAAGTTGGGTCCCAGTTACATGAAAAACCGTAGAGCTTTCAACATCGACCGGATCGTTATGGTGTACGACGTGGTCCAAGTGTTTTTCTCGGTGTATCTAGTGAAAGAGGTGACAAAAACTAACATAATACCTGCACTTAACTGTGGATGAATTGAATTATTATTTTTTGGAAATTTCCCAGGCATTTCGACTGGTGTGGCTGGACAACGACTACAGGTTCGATTGCATAGAAATCGACCTCAGCGACACGCCTAAAGCAAAAGAAGTAATATTATTTGTTTCCCATCCGTTTAATTATACCACCTAACCTAACCTAACCGTTGATTATGTTCTGTTTTCCTATCCGCATGTGTACAGAAATTGTTCGTCGTCTGGTTGTATTACTTCTCCAAGGTTTTGGATCTACTCGACACGGTAAGGCGATAACGATAATAATAATATAAATAACGGTAAGTTGTCAGAGGTTTAGTTCTCGTCGCACTTCAACAAGTATAATGATTTTTTAGGACAAAGCACGATTAACATTTAAGTAAACTTTACTGTAGATTTTTTTTTTTTGCCAGCACGTTTATACTTTTTTTTTTATTATAAGCAAACGTTCTCGTCGTTTTTTTTTTACAGGTATTCTTTGTGTTGCGAAAGAAAGAGAATCAAGTGACGTTTTTGCACATCTATCACCACTCAATGGTGCTGTTCTTCAGTTGGATTGTAGCAAAGTTCTTCCCAGGTAAAAACCCGTTAACCCAACCGGTTGTCGCAAATTATAATCATATTAAATAGTTATAATAAATTGTGTAGAAAAAAAATGTTCTCAGTGAAAATAATTGCTTTGTTCCTCTTGTGGTTCCTTCGAGTTGAGTTAGGATATTGATTTATTCAAATGTAGACACATAATAATTAAACGCTAATTAAATTATAACTGCTAAATTAAAAAAATCATGTTACTATCAACAAAGTAATTGACGGAGTTCAGGTTTTTCAAAAAAAAATAACTAGGCACCCCTGTATTTTTCAGGAAAAATTAGACAAAGTATTTTTAATGTTTAACAACATTTTGTGAGACATATATTTTAATAAAACAGTATATTCGACCTGTTTTAATTACGTTACATAGGAGGACAAGTGGCTTTCTTCGGCACGATAAACGCCTCCGTTCACGTGGTCATGTACAGCTACTACTTCTTGACCGTCCTGAAACCGGAATACAAGAAAGCTTGGTGGAAGAAGCATTTAACTCAATTGCAATTGGTAATATTATGAAATATATAATATACATAAATTGGCGTACAAATTTAACAGCTTGGCAAAATTGTTTTTTTAAACATAAATATTATCTGTGCTCGAAAAGCGAAGGGTTGTTTTTTTGCCCCACCTACACTATATAATATGTAGGTGGGGCAAAAATAAAGTGACTTCATTTACATTTTGATATGGGCGATTTTTGATGGATTTATCAGAAACCGAGTTCTTGGATACTAAGACGTATCCGACGAATTTTTAAAGTCTTATAACGTTTGACAGCCAGTTTTTTAAAAAAAAATTGTAGTTATAGCCCACCAGCTGATTAATGATTCCTTCGGTCTAATTTTCAAACATCATTTTATTAATTTTTAGGGGGTTTTCTCGATTTTCAAGTTGAAAGGGCGAACTTTAAACGGTTTGCCAAATTATATAATGTTTTAAGTAAACTTTCTGAAACCGGTTCAGCCATTAGGGAGATATCGTCGGTCTAGATAGAAAAAATTAAAAAACAGAAACCAATTAAAAACACGTCAAATGATTATTTTATACTGGTGATATTTATATTTTGTTTTCTGAAATGTTTTTCCCCCTACAGATTCAATTCGTCATCACCGGAGTTCACGGTTTCATTGCAATGATGGCGACGGACTGCAAATTCCCAAAAGCATTGATCGCCATTGGCTTGCCACAAGACATGTTTATGTTTATTTTGTTCTGGGACTTTTACAAAAAAACCTACAGGAAACCAACCAATAAGCAGCTGTAAATCGCATGTCCTCGAGAATAAAATATACATGTTTTATTTATTTGCCAACTCGATTCTTGTTGTACTACCCTATATCCTATCCTATAATATGGTCTCCAAGGTAATGTTATATTATTGAAGGCGTGTGTATTGTAATATGTAAATTGCACATACCACGACGTTTGCTCTGCCTCGTCACCTTATAATTACCGTACTTAAGCGTTGTTGTTTTACCAACCAGTCGGAACTGTACATAGAGGTTAATCTAGGTTGTTGACGGCGAGTACCACCGAACAGGTAAAACTGAATTATTATTGGTTTTTTTGTCTAGGTGTTATAGTAATAGGGTCGTGTGCGTCATTTTCTCAAATTGTTTTTTTTTTATTCTATTTTCGTTTCCGATTAGAATTTTCTATTGATTTTAACATTTAGTTTGTCGTTTGTTGCGAAAACCAGTGTGTTTTCAATGTGTTTTGTCGGTTTGTTATGTAAACAAGTGAATTATATGTCTGAAAAAATAATTTGTTTTTTTTTTGTACCTAATATTAATTTTTTTTACTACAGTTGACTACATTTTTAGGCTTTTGACAGCCCCCCCCCCCCGAATTTCTTTTAAAAGGGCACAAATACAGATACAGATTTTTCAATACTTCGATCGAATGTTATTGTAAAAATCGTTTGAAAAAACTTAAAAGATTGCAATAATCCATAGAAATTATTAATTAACTGAAAATAATTTTTAAAATTGTGCCAGAACGAATGTTACAAAGTAGAATGCAAACTTTTTTTTTTTTCGAAAACTTAAATTGTATTATTTTTGTTCTGTTCGAAGTAGTAACATGTTAAACAGAGCCCGCATGCGTTACAGAAGCTGGGAAAAAATTGAATATTATCCAAATAGATAGATGCCTCTTTCCCGTGTTAATCTATTAAGTACTATATAATGTTCACAAATTTTAGCTAATATTATTATTATCTCTTTGTGGTGTTCAGCGTTCCTCCGGTATAATACAATGTTTCGTTCCGGTCAAAGTGGCTGCACTGTAAACGCGGCAATCTTGTATCGCATCGGTTCCTCGCACCCCGCCCCCAGTCTGTTTACAAACAGATAAGAAACGCTGCTGTAACAAATCGATATAATAACAAAATAACAACAGCTCTAACCGACTTATGGACAATATTTTTGATTTCTCCAACTAGTTTTCTCGTTAATATGTTTTTGTGTTGTTGACTGTTGATCCGAGAACAAAGCCGGCATCATGACAATCAAGAAAAAGGTGAGTGTTTTTTTTTCTTCTTGATATAATATACAAACAACAGACGTCTCGGACTGTTGTCGTACAAACAAATTGTTTGAACTACTTTTGTACTATTTAGTACAATAAATTAGTAGAATTTTCCAATAGACCTGGGATTGAAATCGAGTTATCCGATTTAACAACAACAGTAGTTTTGGCGAAACGTTTTGTTCATTATGTTATTTCTAAACCGTCAACATTGTCCTATTGTAGCTCTGCTGTTCACTTATACATCTACAATATACCTATTAATTTTGTCCTAAACATAACGTCTGCTCTTCATAACTTGCATACATTTACCGATCGTTAACTAATAATTTAAAAAAAAAACTAATAAGTTGGTGTAAACGTTATGTAAACAGTTTACAATGTTTTCTTCAATAACTTACAAATAACACATTTACTGTACTCTTCTTGAATTGTATTAGTCTATTGTTTGTGATTTACAATTAACTAGACATTTGTCAGTTGAAATTGTAAAGAAAAAACAAGTATAGTAAATTAGGAACAAGATGTCTTTCTTTATGCTACAAAAAGCTTTGCTCTGTTGATAACATAATTCTACACTTTCATTATACGGTTTTTTCAAAAATTTATATTTTTTATATGTACTGAGATGTTAAAAAATCAGCACAGCTATTGTTAATAGTTGTGTACAAAATATAATAATAATAATACATACGTATTATTATTATTATATTTTGTTTTACAGTAAATATTGAACATTTGAGGTTATTACTACCTTGTATGGTTTTACTACTAAACCATACAATTATGTATTGTTCAATGTTGTTAATATAAAATCGTATTTTAGGAGATTTGTTCTTCAGCAAATAAGTCTTCGACGCCACCCAAATCGGCGGCGCGTAAAGAATTGGCTTCCAGTACGGATTCTAGTTCCAGCTCAAGCAGTTCAACGTCGTCTTCGTCCGGATCGGATTCGTCGAGTTCGTCGGACACTGAGAATTCGTCTACTACCGAAGACAACTCTACTGAATCGGAGAAACCAAAGAAGTCGCCGAGGAAAAAGGCTTCAACGTCATCAGAACCCAAAGGATCTGAATTAACCAAAAAGCAGTCGTCGCCCGACAAGTCGTCTAAATGTAAATCGAATACAGCGCCAAAACTGACTGCAGCCATTTATACAGACTCCGATACAGATGTCGATTCGAAAACCAAGAGGAAATTTCCTCCGGTCAAGCCCAAGTCAACAGCCACGGCAGCGGCCGTTTCAAAGCCACAAGACAAGAACAAGAAAACGGATGTCAAACGTAGCCAAGGCCCACGTTCTAAGGCTACAGCCGTTTCAGACGGAGTCAAGAAACCGGATACAAAGTCTAAGAGTATATTTAGTCCAGATAAAATTAACAGTAGTGACAGCGATCCTCCCCCACCTAAACTGACTCCAATGAAAAATGTGGCGCAACAAAAGGCGCTAGTGAAACCCAGGCCAAAGGCAATGGCGATGGCAACGTTAAAAAAGAATTCACCTTCACATAAGGGTTCTACCTTGACATCGGCTAGTTCGGAGTCCTCCGATTCGGATTCGTTATCGGACAAAAAGACCAAAAAGATAACACCCGATAAAAAGAAGCCTTTAAATAAACCACAGACAACGCCCAAGGTGACGACGAGCGCTACCGAATCGTCGTCCAGTGGAAAAGTGTCCAGGGGACGTGGTCGCCCCAGGAAGTACCCGTTACTCGAACCCACCAGAAACGGTTCGAGCTCAAAGACGGGCCAAGACAAGAAGCCAGTTTCCACCAGAGGAACTACTAGAGTTAGTCGTTTATTGGCGGCCAGCCATAGAACTACTACGGTTACTGATTCGGATTCCGACACAGGTATAATTACTCGATATATCAACTGTGTATACATTATGTTTACCTTACAATTTGTGTTTTAGGAAGTAAATCGACCAGCACTAGTTGTAAATCGCCAACGAAAAAAGTTCGCGACAAAAATCGAAAGCCGTTGAATTGCAACGATAAAAGGACAAACAGTGGTCTCGTCGAGTTGGAAGAACGGCTGTGCCCGGTGAACGGTTGCGATTCTGTGGGTCATATGAACGGGTTGTACGAACGGCATTTCACCTCCGAGGCTTGTCCAATGTATCATAGATTGACCATGAAACAATGCCAAGTAATTTTTGTTAATTCAGTTTCATTTGTATTGCCCTTGTTAACTAATTGCAATTATAATAAATTCACAGGAAATGTTGACTGAGCATTTGAAAAAAAACGAGGAACGTTCAAAAGCCATTTTGAAACCTAACTCTGCCGAACAAAAGCTTTTCAGAGAAAAGGTAAAAGAAATGAGAGCAGCTGTAGTCGACAGAAAAAACGACACGAGTAGTGACACATCAAATAGTGACCAGTACGCCAGCAAAGAACTGGAACCGGACATCGCAAAGTGCACAAATATACCGTTGTACGATCTCAAATTGTTTCAAGAAGCGCAAACAGTCGCTAGTGAAAAAATAGTTAGTTTAAAATAATTACAGTTTTAAGTATTTGTTAACCATTTACGAAGTTACCATTTCGATTATTTTAACATACAATTTTTACAAAATTATTCATATTTTGAAAATGGTTTCACACTTGTTTTAATTATTTTTAAAATGTCAAGATATTTATTATATGCTTATATTTATCAAAAAATTGAACAGCTTAAAAATGTCATTTATAAAATATTGAACGAAAACATGTTTTAAAATATTAATCATTTTTGGCCTTTGGGATATTATATTAACAACAGTTTTATTCAGCTTAAATGTTTTTATGATTTGTTGTGTACACAATTTTTAGTTCTTTTAACAAAACAAACTAAATTGTACCATATATTTTCAAACATTGAATTTTTTAAAATCTCTAACAGGAACTATTTAAAATTTTGAAAAAATGTTTATGTTAATTACTATAATTTATATAAAATCAATTCTTTATTTTTATTATAAATTTTGGAAACTCAACTATTCTAATTTTTTATAGTTAATTATTTATTTTATTGCAAAAAAGACTGTGCTGTTAAAAACAGTTTTACCAAAGCTGAACATTTCAATATTAAACAAACGATATAAATTAAAATTTCAGTTTTTTACACTTAACTCGATCAATAATATTAGTATTTAATTTCTTTATTGTTTTTGTGTTTTTTTAGGAAGAAGAATTGAAACAGCTACCGAATTTCAAAGGGACTAAATACTTAGAAATGGGAAAATATGAAATGGAAGTCTGGTATCAGAGTCCGTACCCAGAGGAATACACTCAAGTGCCCAAATTGTACTTGTGTGAATTTTGTTTGCATTACATGAAGAGCAAAACCGTGTTGTTTAGACACAAACTGAAATGCGTTTGGAAACATCCGCCTGGCGACGAAGTTTATCGGTAAACATCATAACGTAACACTATGCCATATTATGAATCCCAATGAACAATGTTTGTCGAAAGTTTAATAATATTAAAAAAAAAATATATTATTTGGCAAATAAAAAGTTGATACGTTTTTCTATTGTTTTTGCGTTAACCTAAAATAAATGTGTTTGTTGTTTTTAGCAAAGACCGAATTTCCGTTTGGGAAGTGGACGGAAAGCGATTTAAGATATTCTGCCAAAATTTGTGTTTGCTCGCAAAGTTCTTTTTGGACCATAAGACTCTCTACTACGACGTTGAACCGTTTTTATTTTATATTATGACGACTCAAGACGAAGATGGTTGTCACATTGTCGGTTACTTCAGTAAGGTTAGTGATTTTACCTACTTAAGAACGCTTTGAATTTATTTTTTCTCGGTAATCTTTTTGCGCTTTAATTTATCATACTTACTTGAAAACTTAATATATTTTTTTTTTTTAACAGTAAAAAGTAATCAATTTAGAAACTGATACGGCACTAGTAAATAATTTATGTTGACCCTAAATTTAGTCAGATTAACTTATTTGTTTCTAGCCAAATTTGCTTTCGTAAAAATTTTAAATTTATATATATATATATTATATTTTACTATGTATAATAATCATCTTATAAAATAGAAAATACAATTTACCACAAATGTGTTACCCGTTATGACGATGTAATGAAGAATGGCTAACAAGGATAATTTATTTGTCGTACAATTATTATAATATTACAATTAGAATGATATTCGTATGAACGTACCTAACTATATATTGTTCATATCATTTGGACCAGGATAATGTTATTTACATTTTAAAATTAAATTGGGTTGTAAAAAGGGTGGGGGAGGAATGTTGTAAGATTTAAACAATTATTACAACCACGGTTATCAGTTCTGGTTTCTGGTAAATTCTCAAAACTTTGAGAGTGTTTTTTTTGTTTGGTCTTTATTTATGTGGTTTATTTTTGGGCCAATAGTCAGATATCTTGAATTATTATAATGTTGTGATGGTTTTCGATGTGTTTGTACGTTCAGTGTTTGTTTGAATACCTAAAGGTCGAATCTTAAGTAACGCCTTTAATAATACTCAAGGGGAGAAAAATTGTCCCAGCCAAACCATTCTGTGTTGAGACCTTTCTTTCTTAGCGTCACGGTTTGGCCATTAACCAAAACTAAACGTTACGACAATACCTTAATGCTACCGGTTTTGTTGCCAGCTGAAATGTTTTGATAATATTTTTGTAGTATGAAAAAATAATAACAATGAAATGATGTAGACTGAAGGGGTAAACTCTTTTGTGTGTTGTATACAACTTTTTATCTATTGAGAAAGCAACGTCAGACAAAATTAAAAAAAATTAGAATCCTAAGATCCTTTTCAATCCTAGATTGAAGGAATAATAATAAAATTACATAGATTATTCATGATGATAACAAAAAATTAAGTATTTCCTCCTCGCCAATTGGTTTAGTAAAACTATGGAACCTAACCAATCCTATCCTATCCTATCCTAATCTATCGGTTACAAAAATCTGTTTCAGGTACTCCGTGTCTACCAAGACTGAAGGGATATTTTTTCACTCTATCCCGGATTGGTGTCTGGATCTATTTGTGAAGTATGGATACCTATTTATTGCCATGCGAGTAGACACGACGACGCGTGTCTAACACAATGGAAATATTATAGTTTACAACCCTCATTAAAAAAAAAACATACTTACCCGGTCGTATACCTAACCGAATAAAAAAAAATATGTTTACTTGGCGAATCCGTGGCGGTCGTCACATCCCTCCAAAGTATCTCATGTATTATATAGATGTATAGATATATAGTGCTACTATATACATATAGTACATAAACATGTGAGGAAAAACGCCCGGGGTCGAAGCGTTTTCCGTGGCCCTGTTCAGCCGATACGGTCGCCCCTCGTTCCACTCGACCACCCTCTCTGCCTGTCTGGCCATTATTGTGCACACACACACACTAAACCCGTTGAAAATGTACTTACTTTTTACAAATATATATATATATATATATATATATGTATATATATCAGTGTTATTGTGTATAGGCTGGCTTGGTTGCGACGGCGTCAGTAAAGGGGAGGTTTTGCGTGTCTGCCCGCATCCCTCCGACCGTTGTCGCCACACCCCCTCGGTCGCAACAAGCTCGGTCGAAAAGGGGTTGCCCCAGGTCGTGGAATCGACTCTCCAGTCTGTTGTGCGCCAAAACCCCGCAAAAGCACCCCTCCGACCCCTCTATAGTGCTGTTTCTCCACACTATAGCGGGGCGCCGGTGGCGGTAGTGTGACATAATGTTTTGTTTGTTTTTAGAGGAACACAGCCGATACCTGTAGCCAACGATAATAATTATTTGGTGTGGCTGCTAAGTTATGTATATATTTATAATAGTATTCCACGCCGTCGATAATGACGTATGCCTTGACCAGCGGGTGACCAAGAGGTATTATGTTTCGCCTATATTAGGAATACATCTCAATAGTAGAGGCCTTCCAACTGTTACGTTAGACCTCTGTTGGTCACAGAGGTCTGTGATAGCAATTCACTTTTATATACTTTAATTTTTTGACATTGTATGTCTTTGCTTTGGCACACAACCGGAAAAATCGACAGTTTTTATCATAACGAAAATTTCTGATCACTTTTCTCACTTTTTGTGTTTTTTTAAGTTAAATGATTTTTTTTTTTAGTATTTGAAAAAAATCGTATCCTTATTTGTGATTGAGTTTTAGGATTCTAGTAAAAAAATAACTCACTGTTACCCCTGATAAACAGCTACCCATAATTAACCCTTAAATTTGTTTTAGCAATATTATTTTATCCCCGTTTTTTCTGTCTAAACATCACTTTTTTTGGGGGGAAGATTGGTATAACTATAATAAGTTCTATTATTATTATTTTTTATAACAAAATTTATTAAGTTTTTATTTATATATTTTGTCTTAACAAATAAGTAATTTTTTTATGGCATATGATAATTTTAAATAGGTTACTTTTCACAATCATAAACCATAAAAACGATTCACTATGTCTGATCTAAACACTTCCTACATAAAACAATCGGCCCAGTGTTTAAAAATGTATCGTGAGTCTAAAGAAAAAAATGTTTATAAAACATTACCATTGAATCAACACAGTCCTTAGCTTCACGTCGAAGCTAAAGATCAAGAACTGATCTGCTGCGAATGAACCAAGTTCTGTTTTTAACCCTAAGAAACTGCAATTTTAAATGTTTTTTCTAAAAAAAAAAATACATCTTCTTTTATCCCTGTAATGCTTTTATAAAACAATGTATAAATAAATAATATAACGTTATTTTAAATTATATAATTGTAAAACTATGGTTTAATGAAGCCACTGTATTCAGTCAAATCTTATATGAGTCATACCGTACAATGATGTACATCATTATTTCTTACCACAAAGATGGCAAATATAACAGCTTAACTAGGTTCCCTGACCACATTTCACACTAAAAAAGTTATCAGTTCAGTTCATTATACATATGTATGTCTATATATTATATATATATCCTGTGGGTATTACACTCAACTAATTGACAGTGCTTAATAATAGTGCATGATATCAATGTGTATAGTAACCAGAAATAGAGAACTATTTAACCACGAAAACGCGACTCGCCCTCCTCTTTCTGTTTTCTCCTCCGGACCATTAAATTAATAATTTTAAGAATGTATTATAGTTTATAAAGCTATTTTGCTAAACGAAAAACGTTAACTAATCCTCTACCAGTTGATCGTTTTGTTAATTGTTGTCATTACATTCTCCTTAGTCCTTTGTGAGTCGAGTCCTTCTTAACCTTAAACGGTTAACGCCAAAACATAACTTAGTGTCTAAATTTTCACATATGTTATGGGCCAACTAAATTTTTAGTTAAAGAAACTATACATTTAGTTGGGCCAACTATTTATTTCAGGGTTTCGAAATAACTGTGCACTTTTATTTTGAAAAAGTTCTTATTCTAACTTTTTCTTAGGAATTTTTTTGGTACAGTTCTTGTAAGCACTTTTTTGTTAGACCTTCTCTTATAAAGTTCTTTTGAGAACTTCATCGTAAGAACATTTACAATAAAAGTTCTTCTTAAAACTTTTTGGTCAGCGCTTTTATGTAGAAGTTCTTTATTGTAATAGTTTCCACTTAAATGTATGTATGCATGCGTTTATTCGACCGATTTCCAAAAATTAAGCTTATTTTTTTAAACTCGTCAGTGCAGATGCTGGATTGAAGAAAAGTTTAACGGTTCTTGATATATTTGCAAATGTGAATACCAATTATATAAGAGAACTTTAGTTGTTCTAGCAAGAACATTTATAAACAGAATTTTTAAACGCCCTAATAGTTTTTCTTATTAACTCGCCCTGAAATATTGTATTGTGAAATGATCAAATGTAAGGCGGTCGCAAGACCCTGCTGATAAAATATATTGGGTTTTACGATTAATGACTTTTCTGATAACGTTTTTCCTCGAAATAAAAACAATATATTGTGTCGGCTGTGCTGTGCTATGGTCGGATACGGATACACCAAACTGTGGAACGGTTAATAACGTATAATAAAATAACGGTCCGAATTCGGTGAACAATAAGTGTTACCTGTCTAGTACACAACCATACGTTACCCTTGTCCCTGATGTGGTATCGTTCAATGTGTCTTCCCTCGACACACGAATGACTGCGGCAAAACAAATCGCGTGTAAAACGTTTCCCTCTTATCGGCGGACTCGCTGCTGTTATACACTATGATGGGGTAAATGACGTGTGAAATTTTGTCGTTTTTCATAGCCATTGTAAAGGCGCATGTTATACCATAATTTAAAAAATAAAAATACAATAATAAACACTTTGCAGGGATAGTGTGAATATTTGTTATTGAAACGCAGCGACGATACCAACAACCCTACCGCACGCGCGCTATTCAAGTGTTCAGGTGTTATGTAGGGTTGTTAGGCTACGTTAAAACATTATGCTTTCTTGTTTTTGTTTTATAATCGTTCAGCAACTGCAACATTGTTATTACGAGTCAGACACTGTCAGAGTCTGAGTTTGCACGGTAATTACAAAAAAATTCTGTTATTTATCGATTTCATTAGAGAATTGAATTGTCCGACTATTATCAGACTCTTATTTTTCTTGGGTGTCATAAATATTGGCCGGATATGATATGGGAATCGATTGGAACATTTGTTATTTCACCTTGGAATAATTAAAGTATCGACCATTATTTTTACATTATTGGCAAAAAAGAAATAAAAACATTGCCCTAATAGCGACGATAAAAACAAATTAAAAAGTTAATTTTTCATT